GGTTGAGCTGTTGTTCAGCATCTTAGCTGTGGAGGGCAGTGTCACTGGCCCTCATATGTGGGATCCGAACCAGGGCCCTCTGACATCCCAAGCCACCTCTTAACCAACGTGCCACTCGGCCGGCCCTCCAATTTCCTTTTATCCAATCCCAGAGATTTCCCTGCTTTGCTTTCTCCCACCCCCTTAACCTATCACCAATGGATTTCATGTAACCTTCCTCCTTTGATTTTCTGTATCAAATAAGCTGCAAATCGCCATTTTACGGAGCATTTTCTTAATCCGTTGAGATTTTGCTTCCTGGCAATTGTCATCAGTTTGGTTCAAATAAACTCTTACAAGTTTTCTATTAGGCTGGATGTTTTTCATCGACAGGATCCAGGTTTAATCTACACAGAATGTGTAAGAACGTGACAGCTTTACAACCTTGTAAAACTAACCAGCCCCGCACTTAAACAGCCTCATCTAACTAACATTCCTCTTCCTTCTTACGTAGCCTGTCCTTAAGAAATTTAAATCCAACCAGCTTTTCTCTTGCTGAAGTCTGAAGTGAAACTTTCACACGTGCTAGTAATCTAACTTGTCTGAGATGCTTGGCTTAAACATTGATTCAAGGTGTCCAACGAACTCAAGAGTCTGGAGGCTTTGCTAAAATAAATGATAAAGATTTATTCAAAGCTCTTAGGGTTTGCAAAGCATAAACACAACTAGGCAGTATTCCAAAGAAGAAAGAAAAGCTGACGGTCCTTATAACAAAAAGCACATTCTTGAGAAGAATCAGTTCTGCATTCCTAGCCTCTGGATTGCTCGGAGATGGTAATCCTCTAGATGACTGGTGGTCTGGATAGTGGGCGTCAGTGGTCTAGATACCTGACCTTTCTTTCCTTAGTCTTTCAGGGGGGTAATCAGAGGGTTATCTGGAGGTTTGATATATATATATCAGCCATTGAGACAGGACTGGGAAGATCAAAGGTTTAAGTTCCCAGACTAGTTAAAACAAGAATAATTTCTTCATAACTCGACCTACTTGATTGGAGTTAAGTTAGCAGCTTCACTATAGTGACTCCATTTTCATTTCTTCACTCTATTCCTCAGAGGTTAACCTAAGACAAGGGCGCTTCCAGGCAAAACACCACTTGGGAGGAAATAATCCCAAACTATCTTTCAGCATCTCTTACAGCTCTGTGTTGTGTATCGCAGAGACCTTGTGGGAGTAATTGGATAGATGACTGTTTCTTTGGAGTTGCAGTCCTGATTAAAAACGCTATCCGAAGCACAGTGAGGATGTCCTTGACCCACATCCTATTTTCTGGGAAGAGCTTACTACCCCAGTAATTGAGCTGGGAAGATGAGACAAATTGCTCTTGGCGGTCTCAAAAGCGGTTCAAAGTACTGCAGTTGACTGGAATCACACCCTGCAGTTTTCCCTCTTCCAGTGTGTAAGATGCCAACAATGATAGCACTGCACCAGCAGATTATCTGCAAGATAGAAGTGGAAGGGGAGAAAACCACCGCCAGCTAGACTGTAAAAGAACCTTAACCCCGTGATAGAGTTACACGAGTGACCAAATGAGGCAAGGAAGACGAAGACCCGGAACTCCACGGCGGGCTGTCTTTGGGACCCGCCGGTGGTGCAAGATTTACTTAACACTGGGCTGGCGGCGGCCGCAGCTGGCTGGAGCCCGCGGTGACGTCACCGGCCGGGTCACGTGCCCCGCCCCCTCCTGCCCCTCCTTCTCGCGCCGCGTTCGGAGCTCCGGGTCCGGCCGCCGCCTCTCGAAGCTCTGGGCAGAGGAGCAGAGCGAGGGCTGTAGGGCGAGCAGGCAAGCGGGTACGAACCGGGCCTGAGCCGGAGCGGTCGGGGAGCCGGAGGCAGTCGCGCGGCGGCCGGGAGTGACGCGGCCGAGGTTCCTGCAAACTTGGGTGCGCGCTCGCGCCACAGCGCCCGCGGCCGGAGCGATGAAGATGGTCGCCCCCTGGACGCGGTTCTACTCCAACAGCTGCTGCCTGTGCTGCCATGTCCGCACCGGCACCATCCTGCTCGGCGTCTGGAACCTGGTGAGCGCGTTGGGCTGCGGCGACGCGCCAGGGGCGCCTCTACCAGGGAGGGGGCGCCAGGACTCTGGGACCCCGGCCCGCGGCCTCGCGTAGCTTTTCACCGATCCAAGTTGGCTCCTGGCTCGGCCTTGGGTTGGGTGACGCCGGCGCTAATCCTCCTAAAGTTAAATGATTAGAAACTTAATTCTCTGGGCAGGCGTGCCCGCGACCGCCCCGGCTCGACCGACCTGTGGCGGGGGTCCGCTCGGGGCCCGGAGTTGGGGGCATGTCGGGGGTGCGGGTGGGCCGAGGCCCTCCTCAGAGCCCTGGGCAGAGCCGGCTGCGACCGCCTCGGAACCCCGCGGTTTCCGGTGAAAGTGCTCTTGGTGGCCGGAGAACTCCGATCTTATTTGCGGAGCACGTGTTTTCCTTTCCTTTCTTAACGCGGGTGGGCTTGATGTTTTGACGGATTCCGACGGCGTCGTGGGGCGACCGGGCACGTTTTGTTAGCCCTGCGGTCAGGGCTGCAGACCCGGCATGCCCGTTTCCCTGCTCCCGTCTAGCCTCGCGTTGGCTGTGCAGTCTCCAGCGCACGTTCGGATCCCGAGTTGAAATGGTTGGGGGTTCTTATCACACTCGTAATGGTTAAACCCCACACGTTTGTTGTGAAGCCGTTACTCCAAGAAGGGATTTGCTTGTGATTGACTGCCTTGTAGTCGGCCTGGGGAAGCCATTTTACACCCACTCACTTTCCTGCCCACTCACAGGTGGTCCCTTTACCTTCCAAGCAGACACCGCTTTTAAGATCGTATTGGTATGGGGAGCGATGATTATCAGGGGCAGTGAAGAAACCTGATGGAGTCTTGTCCTGTGCCTTCTCCAGGTTGATTGTGGGTACCCCTAGACTGCACCAACATTGAGTCGGATTCCCTTGCATTTCAGGTTTTGTGACATCTTGATGGAGGGTTACACCCAAACCACTTTTCAGTGACTACTACTCTTATCACGAGGAAATACCTTAAAATAGTAGTAAAATGGACTGTAGAACTTTTTAGTGAGAATTCTTAATCTTCAGAGGCTTTTTTGTTGATTTATATTCAAAATTTTAATACAATATGGACACTTTGTCTAAATTGTGTCATGTGCCATTTTAAGCAAAACATCCCCCCCCCCAGGCATTTGGTGTTTGCTGTGCTATTTATAGTTTCAAGTTCTTTAGTCAGTGCCTATCACAGGACACACAATAGAAATTTTTGGCCTTGAAAGCTTTCAACCAGATCTTTGGTATGTGTGGGTTCTTGTGCAGTGTGAATGCAGACAACATCAGCGTCTTGGCTCAACCCTAACTTTGCTAAAAGCCGGGAAATCTCTTTATAGAAATTTAAAATTACTGTATAGCCAAAGGATAGTAGATGGCTTCAAAATATTAGTGCTTTTATTAATGATCAAGACTACTTTATACAAATATCTTATGTCTTGAAAATGTTCAAATCTGCAGACTTGCAAGTACATCAATGAATGTAATTTGTAAAATGTAGGGCACTGCATTAGGCAAATGTACTGCGTGATCTACAGGAAAAATAAATCTACTTGAGCCCTATTGTTGGCTGCAAGCCAACAAGACGGTATTGGTGTGATAAAAGGAGAGCGCTCTGCATGCTTTGTCTACTTTTGGAGCCTGCTCTTGGTGGAAAGTAGTTACTGGGTGCATGTTTTAGCATTTGGAAATATATGGGCTTTTGAAAGATAATTGGAAAAGTTTTTAGCAGATGTAAGAATGCCACTTTAGGTAAACCTAATTAACGGGAAACCTGGCTTTAGTACTGATAATCTTTATTAAAAATTCTTTTTCATTTCATAAAACAGTTTAGACTTTTTTTTTTAATCAGTGAGTTTCCTTCATTCCTTTAAATAGAATTTGGTTATCCAAAACCATGATTTTCATGAATAGTTTTAAGCTGAGGGAGCAGAGGCATTGAAGTACCTCTTCTTCCCCCACCACTCTCACCTCACCAGCCATGGGATAGAATGGGGTCAGTTATCAGAAACGGGCAGTTTTCAGGGGGGAGGGGTAGGGTTATGGGTAGATATTCAAATAAGAGTCAACTAGAAGGGCTCTTCCTTAAACTAATAAATAATTGCCTTTTGTGCCAGATAGGTAAAATGGGTATTCTTTATGCATTTTCTAATTGTTTTCTACCACCACTGTTTACTGAGGTCCAGTGTGGCAGGTACTATGCTAGATGTTTTGCATAAGCTTGACTTTTACATATTCCTGGTGAGGTACTTTTCTTATTCCCATTTTATAGATGATACCTAAGCTCAGAGAGCTTAGGTGATTTACATAAGGTCTTGTGGTTGTAGTCTGAGTGATGTTTTAGTCTGTCCCGTTTCCACTGTTTTTCCTTTTTTAAAGTTAGTTGTGTGTTTTGTTTTTGTTTTGTAATAATAAAGGTTTTCTTCAGTCCAGTAACAAAGCCTATTGATTTCATGTATTTATATATTAGAGATCATTTTTTTCTTTGTTTTACTTCCTTGTATTGAGGCATAATTTACATATGGTGAAATTCACAGATATTAAGTGTACAGTTCATTGAGTTGACAATGCATACACTTGTGTAACCCACACCCCTAGAGAACATTCCAGAACCTCGAAAAGTTTCCCTGTGCCTCTTCCCAGTTAGTTCTCAACCACACACATCCCCACCCCACAGGTAAGTTTTACCTATTCGTATAAGTGGAATTATACTGCATATATTCTTTTGTATCAGGTTTCTTTCACTTAGCATAAACCTTTATGTTGTTAGAGTGTATTAGTAACTTGTTCCTTTATATTGCTGAGTATTTTATTGTATGAATATACCACAATTTGTTTACCCATTTGCCAGATGATAGGCATTAGGATTGTTTCCAGTTGCTGCTCTGAACATTCTTGCACAAGACTTTTTGTGGGCACATGTTTTTATTTCTCTTGAGTAACCGAGGAGTAGAATTGCTTGTCATTGGGTAGATAGATGTATGTTTAACTTTGTAAGAAACTGCCAACTAGTTTTCCAAAGCAGTTGTGCCATTTGATTCTTCAACCAGCAATGAATGAAGTTCTAGTTGCTTCACATCCTTGTTAACACTTGGTGTTGTCAGTCTTTAATTTTAGCCATTCTGGTGGATGGGTAGTGGTAGCTCATAGTGGCTTTAGTTTGCATTTCCTTATGACTAATGACGCAGAACAGTTTATATTTGCTTATTGGCCAATTATATATCTTGTTCTGTGAAGTGCTATTTACTGCCCACTTTTAAAAATTGGGTTTTGTCTTTTTTTATTGGTTTGTAAGAACTCTCTATATTTTGGATATCAGTCCTTCGTTAAGTATATACTTGTGAGTATTTTCTCCCAGTGTGTGGCTTGCCTACTCGTTTTATTTTTTTTTTTAAAGATTTTTTTATTGGGGAATTGGGGAAGGGGAACAGGCAAGTTGTCCTTCAATCTTAGTTGTGGAGGGTGCAGCTAGCTCAGCTCCAAGTCCAGTCACCATCCAGCTGCCCGGCGGCAGCTCATGACTGCTCATCTCAAGGTGCCTTGTTCAATCTTAGTTGCAGGTGGGCATAGCCCACCATCCAATGCAGGAGTCAAATCCGCAACCTTGTTAGGAGCATGTGCTCTCACCAGCTGAGCCATCCTGCCACCTGTTGGCAGCTCAGTGGCAGCTCAGCTCAGGTGCAGCTCACTGGCCCATGTGGGAATTGAATCCACGACCCTGTTGCTGAGAGCTCCTGCTCTTAACAACTGAGCCACTCAGCCAGCCCCCTTACTCATTTTCTTAATGGTATTGCTCGTAAGACATCCTGGGGCCAAGAGACCAAAGAAAGAAGCTGCCAACTCCAGCATTACATCACAAGCCTATTTAAGGGAACTTACATACCAGGTGTCTTGGGCAGCTTCACGACAATGTGGATATCCTCCATACCACATGGCAGTTGCTAAAGAATTATATGGAACAAGGCGGGATGGATAGGGGTACAGGGGTATGACTCATCCCAGATATGGGGAAAATGCCTTACATGCTTGCCCGGAGCAGAGCAAAGTCCTGTTCTAGGAACCAGCATGCCTGGGGCATAGGGGAGGGGTCTGTCAATCAGTCTCTGAGGGGATTTATGGGAAGCAATCTCTGCCTCGGATCTAGCTGGACCTAGCTTGAGGCTTCATTAGCAATGACTGCCATGGAACAGTTTCTACTCCAACAGGGTATTTTCATGAACGGGAGTTTTAATTTTGATGAAGTGTAATTTGTCATTTTTTTTCTCTTATGGTTCGTACTTTCTGTGTTTTAAGACCTCTCTGCCTACCACAAAGTTATAAAGACATTCTTTTACATTTTCTTCAGAAGCTTTATGGCTTTAGCTTTTGTAACTGTGATCCATTTAAAATTAATTTTTTTATTATGATGTGAGGTAGAGGTTTGTATGTTTGTTTTAAAAGGCAGTTTAATCACTTATCCTAAAAAAAGTTAAATGATTACTTAACCTCTTTTTTTTTTAAGATTTTTTTTTATTGGGTAATTGGGGGGATGGGAACAGCGCTGGGGAATTGGGGGAAGGGGAACAGACAAGTTGCTGTCGTTTAGTCCTTCAATCTAGTTGTGGAGGACGCTGCTTCACTGGCCCAAGTTGGCACCATCATTGTGCTCTTCCCAGGCGAGGCAGATCAGTCGCCGGCTTCTGGACGGCCGCTCACTGCGGCTGCTGGCCGCTCACGCTGGCTGCTGGCCGCTCACGCTGGCTGCTGGCTACACACGGTAGCCCATGGCAACCCACTGCAGCAGGGGCTGCAGCCTATGCCGTCGCCAGCAACTCATGGCAGCCCAGCTCCAGGTTGAGCTGTTGTTCAGCATCTTAGCTGTAGAGGGCAGTGCCACTGGCCCTCATATGTGGGATCCGAACCGGGGCCCTCTGGCATCCCAAGCGAGTTCTTAACCATCGCGCCACTCGGCCGGCCCGATTACTTAACCTTTAATATCTACAAA